TTTGTCATCCATCTACCCTACCGGCCTGATTTTATGATGCAGCATCTAAATAGTTCCTTTGTAAAAAGCATGCACTATAAATATTTGAAAATGTCGCGTTTCATTTAAAATAGATGGTGTGCACCTCAAGGTGAGGACTGCGTACTCTTTCTCTCCTACAGAACCTGTTTACAGTAGTTCAGGTTCCCAGAGCCACTCCCTTAATATCCTTCACAGCACTCAGCACTTGATAATTTATAACTGAATCAGGTACTTGAAACACTACTGCTATTTCCAATAGCCTACGATGGCTTTGTTCAGCCCTTCCTTCACCCTTAGCAGGAATACAGAGACAGAGGAGAGCTCAGGAAATGCATGTGGCTGCCTAGCTGAGCCGAGGAAAGGAAAGGAGGCTACCTCTTCAGAACACTTGTCAGTGTGTCTGATTTCAGACAAAAGAGCACCAAAAGTGATTCCTACAAAACAAGACTCTAATCTACTTTGGGGAATCAAAGTCAAAATGAGTTTAGAAATATCTAATAAGCACAAAGATGGATTCTATATACATGAGAAACAAAAAAGAGAAGGTAAAGCTGGGTGAACAGCTTGGTGTGGAGACCCATGAGAGTCCCAGCACTTTGTCTCCCAAAGGTCATGCCTATTAAAGGCTACAGCACGCAAGAACAGAGAAATGCTATGGAAAATTACGGCGTCCATTCTGAAGAAACAGCTCTTCCAGGGATGGCACTGGAGTGGAGTTTGAGGTGTTTTTTTATGGAATGGAATAAAATCTAGCCTAGTACACATTCCTTTCATCTATTCCAAATTTCTCTTTCTACATCCACAGTGATGAGGCTGTAGGACACATGCGTGAGTTTAAATTAACACTTACTTGTTTAATTATGTTAAGCTAGCTACTCATCATGATTATAGATATTTTCATCATCATTATCTCTATGCCAGTATTTTATAAAACTTTCTCTCTTTGTCTTACCTCATCCCTCCACACGCACCCCCCCACCCAATGCTCTAGCCTGTATGGGTAAACATCTGCTGTGTTCATGATGCTACTCTCCTGTTTCAGAAACAACTATGGCCCCCTGTTAGCCATCACACTCTCCAGACCTCTGCCTGGCCTTCAGAGTTCAGGAACTGCCTCCAGCATCAAACTTAGTCTTTTGTTTGTTAGGTCAATGTTACTTCCTAGAAGAGGCCTGCTGGTCTAGGTAGGCAATTCACTGTGTTTCATTACTGCAATTACATATTACTGCAATCTCCGTGCCTGCCTGGTGTACTGCAATGACTCCATAAATGGTGGATACATTTATAAAATCTTCTCTTAATGTTTTTTCATCATTTCTTTCCCTTCTTTAAATTTCTATTGCCTATTGCCTTAGCAATCAGCATTGTACCATTTGGAATATAGTTACTGTCACTGATTTACTACTATAGCCATTTCATTTTCTTAAATGTACTAAATTCCTAGGGACCAGAGATGAAATCTATTTTCTCTATGTTTTCAAAAATGCCTGCATATAGCTGTTCTATAAACAATTGTTAATACTTTACTGAGTTTAATTTATTATATCCTATTTTTTGGGACTATCTCCTAATATGTTTTTATAACTATGTCACATATAACAAAACATGGGGCTACAGTTTTATAAAGATTAATTATCCATCATAAAAGTCTACATTTGAAGGCACTGCTCATCTTCCCAATTATAGTCTGCTTGCTTTTTTGCCTTTTTTCTTTTTTATATAGAATGCAGTTAATGATCAGCAGTAGTACACGATCTGCCAACTGAAAAGTTTAAAAGCTAGCTGGTGGCTTCATCTTATCAAATAAAAACTGCTACTGTTAAATAAAATGAAAAATTAGGGATTAAACATAAAAATATCATCTGTTTAGACAGGTGTATGTATTTTTCCAGTGCCTACAGTAAGAATGTAATAATCCCACTTTTATTATAAGGAAAAGAAAGACCTTGCTTCCTCAGAGTTAAAAGTACTTTAGCAGAAATGAACTCATTTAATTTCACTGACTCCTTGGGAAAAAATTTGGAGAACATATTAACTGTATGTTATAAATAAAGAAAATGTCCAGAGAGTTGAAGTGAAGGGACTAAAGATGGGTCACTATAATTACTGGTTAAACTCTAATCCCCTCCTGATGAAACCATATCTGCCCAATGGACAATATTTCACAGCCTGATCTGAAAATAATTTTTAAATTTAAAAATGGTATTAACATCTTCCAAAATAGTTCTGAAACTGATCAGAAGAACAGATATGAGAACAAAAGCAAGGAGGAAAATCTGGACAATTTCATATTTAAATTATCTTATTTCAGTGAACCATATGACTACATACAACACCAGAGGGTAAAAAGTGGAATCCATCTTTCCCCAACTTTCCATAATCTGGAACAGTAACTATTTTTTTGCTCAGCATCAATTTAAATTACTGTAGAGCCAGGTGAAGTAGAAAAGATGAGAAACACTGCTTGAAATCCCCACTGTCCCCAAGTGCAAGTCCAAGTAACCAGCGAGTCTCTGAGAAGTGTTTGACTGTTGTGGTTAATCCATTTGGAACACCTTCTTGTAAACAGTGGAACAAAAGAGATAAACTGAAAAATCGTATCCTCCCGATTAGACAGCAGTGGATTAGACGACCAGAGAGACTACTTGGAAACTCCAGGCTTGTGGCGCGTCTGAGTCACGTCTTCAGTGAGGGACAGGGCTGATTTTGAATGGTGTGGCTCATGCTTCAGCAATGTTTTGCTCTAGACAGATGGGCCATGTGGAAACTATGAACAGGCTTCAGAGACAAGACCATGATGAGCCAATACAGCATTTTATGTTTTCCGTCTCTATTCAAGGGGGCTAGTGAACAATATAACATCATAGGACATGGTCTGTCACATGATTTTGTTTAACTTCTGACTAATCATTACTTTTGATGGTATAGATGTATTTAATATGGAAATTTTTCCTTTTTTCATTTTTAGGAAAACACACTTTCATTTAATGAAAAAAGCCTGAACTATTTTTAATATTAAATATACTGTAATTTTTTCACAGTATTAACTTGCTTTAATGCACCAATGAAATCATGGTCCAAAAAGGGGGAAGAAACTATCAAAATCACAGACACTAAAGACAGAGAGAGAGAGACAGAGAGAGAGAGAGAGAGAGGAGGAAAAGAACAAAAAAAGAGGGAGGAGGAAGGGAAGGAAGGAAGGAGAGAAAGGAAAAGAGGGAGAAGGGAGCAAAGAAGAAAGAACAACTAGAAAGCAACCACGATCCACCAGATGATTCATTTTAGGGATGCGGAGTATTCAGGGTTTGCTGTTTTAATACTTTTAAAAAGTAACAAATACAAAAAATGTTTGAAAAACAAGTTTCTTTTATCTGGATTGGGTTTAAAATTTAATGAGAAACTTTGTGGGTGAAGAAAAATTACAGTTGTTGGCACAACACCAAGATGGAACAAATGAACAGTACTTAGACGCCTTAGCTATAGGACATGGGGGGCCTACAGAGTAACTGAAATTAATATATGGAAAATGACTGTATGGGTTTTTTACAGGTATTCAGAAACTATCTTATCTACTCACTCAGCCTATAAATCTTTGCACAGGCTATGATGAAAATGATCATATTTCATTATTATAATTAAAATATACCAGTCTTAGATGTTTCTCTAAGGAAATAAAAATATGAGACATAGATAATATGGGTACAATTGTTTGAAAGGAGGAAGAATTTAAGGACCTATAATTTAAGTGTTTTTCAAGGAGATTTATTGAAACACAATTACATTGTGTGCCTAAGATTAGGAAAGAGTAACAAGATTTCCTCGTGTAATGAATGAAACTGTTTTACAGATTATAACTGTTGGATTGTCATATTTTTCATTTTGATCACAGAAAATCCTAGTGGAAGCTATAAAACATGTCCATCCCAATTCCATATGATCAATTCGGGACTGAACTATTCGTGCTGCATTCATAACATGTCTGCAGTACCGAAGACTAAAGTGGACAGACTTTATCTGATGCAGACATACAGATTTGAATAATTTTAATGATCACAAAATGAACCTCTAAAATTATATTTTTCTTAAGTAAACATAAGTAGCCACGTGAGAAATTCAGATCCAAAAGGAATAGTTTTTTCTATATATTGTTTCATTTTCATCCTGCCTTAAGATTTTTAAGACTTTGACTTACAACTATTCCCTATCTCCAAGAACGAGGAAGTAATTGAAATTAGAATTCTTTACTTCTGGTTCCCTGCCTTTCAGTTACCCTCACAGGTTCTGTTAGCGTTTGTAAATTGTCATCATTGATAAAACCCCTGAATAATCCCCGTCACATGCCCTCTCCTGGCACTGCTTCTCCTCTTTTAAACGAAGGGATTCGAAGGGCAATAAAGGAGAAGTTTGGGAGAGATTTGTTCACAACCACCACAGTCCATGAGACACAGCACAGAGAAGCCCATTCGGACAGCTCAGGGGGCAGCAAAAAACATTTCCTACACAACAGCATGTTTGGTCCCTGTCAGATTCTGAAACATACGTATTTTAAGATGTATTTCATTACTCATAAATATAATTAAGGGTTTCTTAAAACTGGTGAAATATTTAGACACTGTTGATATAGCATAAAGGGAAGAGCCTTTTTCATTTTGTCAATTGCTGTTTTATTAGGTTAACTCCCGCCCTACAAACTTGATTTTCTTTTTCTTTCTTTCCTTTTTTTTTTTTTTTTTAGTATCAGGAATCAAACTCAGGTCCTTGCACTTGCCAGGCAAATGTGGTGCCACGGAGCTAAATCCCCAGCCCAAACCTGCATTTCTATGTTAACCTTTAAATCACATGCTAACATGTGAGGACAAGAAAAAAACATTTAATTTTATGTCTTTAGGACAGGCTCTGTTACTTTTAGGACAATGTACCTATTTCGTGTTTCCAATTATGGACTTCCTGTAAAGTGTTCTACATTACATTTTTTCAAGGAACTGCTTCTAAAATACTGTGGACCCTCAAGTGACAACCGGCCTGACATCTGCACAACCTGGGTTAATTAAGTTAATGGAAGATTCATTTCCTTCTTGTTACCTATAGCTTGTACCTACGTAAACATCCAGATCTCAGCTGCATTGACTTACAACCACCTTGAGTTACAACCAGGCCTTGGGAACCTATGGAGTTCGTAAGTCAAGGATTCACTGTGCCTTTCTTTGGGGAAATAGCCATTGGTAGACAGCAACATAATTATTTCCATCATTTCACTAAGATATAAAATACTTTTCATTAATATCAAATGAGTCTGTGTACCGCATACAGAATATTAAGATTAAAATGCATGCTACAATGAATATGAGAATTTTAATGAGACCTATTAATTTTTATCATAAAGCTTAAATAGTTAATGTGCTAATAATAGTACTGTTGTGTGCTACCTAAAGAAAGAGTACATCTGATATTTCCTAAAGGTGGATCAACTCCTCCAGCTCATTGGAAAGAAAAGAGCCCAATCGAGATCTATCTAAAGATAACAACAGTGTATAAAATAATATTGCCCACTACAGTGAAAGGTGCTACACACACGAAATGCATCTTGGAACACAAGCAAATTGCTTTTCTTCCCCACTAGTAATTTCATCCTGCAGTTTATGTTGAAAAGTACTTAAGGAAAAATAAGATAATCCCAAGAGCAATAGATGTTTCAATAAGGAATCTTCTGCCATTCTGCTTAAATTTTCTAATTCATTTTGAAGGTGAACACTGGGGTTAGGTAGAAACATTACTTTTGAGCTCAATGCATCGGAATGGAGAAGATAGATATGAAAATTATAGCCCTCCAAGATATTTGCATATCTCTTCTGAGTAACAATAAGAAAACCATGAGGCAAATAGCATTATAAATATGAAGGCAAAAAAATCCAAACACAAAAGATTAAAAACCCCACATACATTGAAAAGAGCAAAAACAATTCTGGATACAACAAAGGAGATGACAAATGGCATGAACTTTTCAAAACACTCTACAAACAAAACAACATTATTCAACAGAATGCAATGGGACTGGAAAAGGAAGGAACAATCCACAGGATGAGAAACGAAATCATCCAGAATAAGCAGTCATGGACGTGAGCCAGAAAGGGGATTTCTTTTCTTACTTGCATAAGTATCTTGAGGGATTTGAAAGGTCCTTCACCATGAAACACTCGCCACCATTCACACAGAACGTTTTCTCCTTCTCTGCACACTTCACAAGATGGCTGGTCCCAGTGGTGGATGTAGACGTAGCTGGATAAGAGACAAGGAAGAGGAGATGTTCACATCTGTGCTCGACTCCTTTTTAAACAGCCTTTACACTAAAATTCTCTTAAAAGCACGACTTCATAGGAGATACATACTTCTCTAAACTTCCCTAAAGTTTCAGACTTAACAACAGCAAAGCAACTATTCTGGGTGGTGTGATACACAGAACACAAGTGATTAACAGAATACAATTAATAGAACACATGTAACTGCGGAATAAATTTCATTCCAATTACCTAGGGAAAGGGACTCAGAGTTTTTATAACCATTGTTTTATCTCTTCAGGTGTTGGAAGAGAGAAGCTCTCCTGTTAGTAAGCAAAATCATTTTTAAGGAAGGTTCCAAGGTAATGGCATCAAGGCGTGTCAGTGAAGCTGCATAAAAATACATATTTTTGCAAATTGTGCTCTATGTGTGGGTTGGCTTTTCTTCCTTTCTGCAGTACTAGGGATTGAAAACAGTTTTTGTGCATGCTAAGCACGCCCTCTTCTACTGAGCAACATCTTCAGCCCTAACACGATGTACAACCAAAATCCAAAAACAAAACACACAAGGATACCAGATACTGTATGTGGTTCGATTGAAAACATATATAATCATTATTATTATTTTTATTTTGCATCTTTTGGTACTGGGGATTGAACTCAGTACTTTACACTTGCAAGGTAGACATGGGGCCACTGAGCTAAACCTGGTCCCCAAAACATATATTATTAATTGAACATACACTGACACAGAAGTCAGAAGAATTCATTCGGTTTACACTTTCCATTGAACTCATTCTTCTACTCTGAAGGTCGTTGCTGAGTATCTGATTGTGCTTTGGGAAATCAAAAGATAATACTGTATCTCTATGAATGCAGAATGATACTACAAAAATTCTCTCTCTTGGATTAAGAGTACAGAAATAAGCCTTAATTATGGCTTCCAACTTCTGCATGTGATAACTGGACCTTTACTTCACAGTCAATGGGTGTAAAACTGGAGATGACGCTGGGCCGGAGACTGTACAGACTCAGTGAAACCCTAGCTCAGCCCGGAGGCTCAGGGGAACTTTGGTGTCAGGGCCTCTCCTCATGTCCACAGCCGGTAAATCCATGGACAGTGCTGAGTCTCCACCAGAAAAAGCCAGTTCACAGTGTTGGCACCTGATACTGTTGAGAGGAGAGACAGAACCAATACCGAGCTGGTGAAGACTGTACTTTCCATCTTTAGGCACATTTCCTTTTCTTATTTACTGACACATTCCTACAGCTTTTTAATGTCGTCTTCCTTATCAATTTCTATTTTATTATTTGCATGTGAATGTTGGATGTTCTTGCTTATTTGACCTATTGTTCTATTTCTCCCCATGTTTTCTGCCTTATTTCCTTCATAAGTTCACAGTTTCTTGTAATTTTAAACCCAATTTATTTTACGTCTCTTAATTGCCATTCTACCTGATCAGCTGGTTATTCAGTTTCTTAACTGCTTTCTTGTTTCTTGGTCACCTGTCTAAGATACATTCAAGGACCACTTCACTGCTCTCAGACAGCATTTAGGAATAGCAGCAAAGATCAATCCAAACTACAGGATTCTGCAGGCAGATCCGGTTCAAATCTCTACCCTTATGAGTTTTGTGTCACCTACCACCCAGGTGCTCATTTTCCCATTAAAAAAAAAGGAGTAAAAGCCATCTTGGAAGATTTTTTAATGGAGATCATAAATCATCTAGGTAAAGGAAATGGCAAAAAAATGTCATTCAATGAATAGTACCAAATATAAATATGGGAAAGAATCTTAATTTTTGTGTTTAGCAATCAGATAAAAAGCTTGACAGTAGAAATCTTGGAATTTCAAAGATACATGCTTTTCTTGAATCAATTAAGAATTGGGTCATTTTTTTTTCTTTCCAAGATGGGGACTGAACCCTGGGCCTTACACATGTTAGATGAGCATTCAACTATTAAGCTGGATCCCCAGCCTGGGGTCAATTTTTTAATTAGCTCAACAAAATGTCCTTTTCAAAAATGCCTTCCAAGGTCTCCTTTATAGGTCTGCAAACCAAACAAAGGAATGAATGGAGCATGAGGAGAAAGGTGATTTTACTACGTACAGTTAGCTCCAATGGACAGTCAAATCAGCTCAGTGATGAAATAAACACAATGTGTATCTTTTAGTCTGCAAAATCATAGAGTAGACAATAGTCCTATATTTCACCCAGCATATAGTTTAAACATTTGATCTTCATGCAAAAATCTTTGTACGTAGGTGCTGTGTGGGTCAGTATCTTCATCTAAGGCTTGTAAAAGATATTAGGAAGACAGTTGCCTTAACTGTGAAAGGTTCTGTGCTGAAACTTAACTGCTTGACAGCATTCTGTGCAATGACATATTCTGCTGGGTACCCTTGCTGCCCTCTGTGACAGCACTGAAAGGACCACATGCAGTGTGCTTGTCACCCAGCTTCCACAGAGGATGCTGAGCCATGAATAGATCCCAGCGCTGTCTGAATCCACGACAGGCTGCTAAGGATCTCCCTTCACCCGACCGAGCAGCAGACGCTGCACCAGCCTCTTCAGAACAAATCCTGAGCCCTTTACTGAAAACAAAACAGCTCTCCCCAAATGCATATACTCCATATAAATGGTAAACTACAAATAAAAATTAGCTGTGATATTCTTATCCCTTCAACACACTGTGTTTATCAAAACAATTAAGACTGATAAATACACACAAAAACTAGAAGTAACTTTTCTTTTGCACCTTAAAAATATTTCTCCCTGAAGTGAGTATTGCACCTACACTGAACCTATAACACTGAGAAATTCTTAGATCACTATTGTAAAGTAGTAGCGGGACATTTGATAGTAAAATATTCATCACAGGGACAATGAGGTGGCATCTATTTCACACCATCATGGGACTATTGTGCTTAGCAATTTCATCCATTACCAGCAATGATATTTTAAAAAATCATGAGTTTTAATGCAGCAATTAACTACCTACCAAGAGAGGCAAAGTGTGAACTGACTGGATACAGCTGCTCAGAATCTAAAGCCAAGCACAGAATAAGCTGTAATTGTCAGAAGTCAGGCAAGAGATGGTGGCCCCCCCACACTCTTCGGGTTTTTGCCAGTTTCTCTCCTCTCCGTAGTTGAACACAGTGTGCTGTCCATCCTAAGCAAGTCTATAAAGTTTGCAATGAAATAGCCTTTCTCTTTGGCTTGCACACACTGTATTGCTAAATCCATTTCCATTTGGTAATTCTGCTAGAAAACAATGAAACCGACAAAGCAGGCCCGGCACCAACTGTGGAAACACTGTTCTTTCTGGGGATGTCAGAGGAAGAAGCCAAGCCGAAGGCCTGGTGAGGGGAATGGATTTCAATATATAGTAGGTGACCCCCACCCCACTGTTCTGGGAATAAAGTGAATAGATTTCACTCATTCGGGGCTTGATAAACCGTCTCCTTTTACTTTGTGATTACTTTGTCACAATTTGGATATTATCTCCTAACAAGTAAATGAATGGTAATTAAGAAGACTGCTAAAGATGACTCCATTATTTTTATATTTCACCTTTATGTTTCATCCCAAACACATTTTCCTTGGTAGGTTAGCAAGTGTGGTCCTATAAGAGGACAAAAGTATAAATAAAAATAGAACTTATTACCAGAGAATACGTGTTGGGAGTGCTTTAGTCCCAAGCTGGCCGGTCTTGGCAATACAGTTCAGGGCTCCCAATCACCCCCAGGGAGCCGCACTGGAAAGTTCTCTAAACACAGGACCAGGACGCGGAGCCCAAGTTCACCATTCCTTTGCATAAAAGCCCTCTGCCACACTGGGGCTCCACCCTTCTTTCTTTACCTTCCTCCTCTTTCTAGCTTCTCTCTCTCCCTGACTTCTTTCTTTCCTCCCTCTCTTCCACCTTTCCTTTCTTCATCTTGCTTTCATGATTGTCCCTTACAAGCAAGACATAATGGTAACAAGTGAACATACCGGAGGTAAAAGTTTTCAGAGCACCACCAACTTTCCCTAAACAGAAACTTTCATAAATAGGATGTAGTGGCATGAATCCTGAAGTGACTAATCCTGACAAAAATCAAGCCTTAGTCTCAAGGGTGCCAAGGACTAGCCAGGAGATTCCTGTCTGGTGATCACCTCAGTGAATTCAGCAGTGAGGTGAGACTTACGGAGTTATTGTGAAGTTTCTTAAAATGGCTTACCATGTGTTAGGCTGCCTTACCCAATACTGCATATAGTTGCATGACACGGTTATTATGAATGTCATAAATACCGGACAAAGAAAAAACTGTTATCTGTACAGCTCTGGAATTCTATAAATCAAACCTTAAGTGTTATTTCTTAGAAAATAATTCTGTAAAACATTGAAGAGAGATGGCCTAGTTCTGAAGGTGAATCATTGAGTAATTGTAAAACATTCAGTAAATATCAAAAGTCTAGCTTAACATCATTGTAACTGCTTGTAATTTATAACCACTAAGTTATGATATAACATAGTGTAAGATGATACTGAGAAAAAGTTTGAGTAAACCAAAAGAAAACATGTATCGTGGACAAAAGATTGTTCTCTACTTTCAAGATCTACGAAATTCTGTAATGTTTTTAACTGAACTTTCAAGTAACATGAGTTAAATGTACTTATTGTATTAGATTCAATTTCAACAGTTTAAAAACTATAAAACAATTTAACACAGTGTGATGTCCATATTATTACATGGAACACAATATAAAATTTGCTTATAAGGCAACATTCTAGAAATTCTATTGTTACATACTTTTGTATAGATAGAGCATGAAAATTGGATTAATAATTTCTTTTCTGCTTATCACTTAATAGTTCCCCCTGGGACAGCACTTCTCCATACTCTGTTTCCTGCAGAGTATAGGGACCTTTTTTCTTTTTTCTTTTTTTTTCTGCTCGAGACAAACTAAAAATGAAAAAATGTTGAAAAAGATGTTTTCTTTCACTTTTTTGCTGTGC